AATAATTATGTTTCCTTTACTGTACAGGTAGTCTTTGACTTGAAAGCATTCACTTAGTGACTGTTCAAAGTTACAAAACGTTACTGGAAAAAAGTGACTTATGACTGGATTTCATATTTATGACTGTTGCAGCATGGTGACATGATTAAAATTTAGGCACTTGGCAACTGGCATGGATTTATGACAGTTGCACTGTAACCTTTCCCAAGCAGCTTCTGACAAGCAAAGTCAGAGTTGTTGCTTAATAATTATGGCAAAAAAAAGTTGTAAAATGTAGTAAAACTCGCAGCCTTGCTTAACAATGGAAATTTTGGGCTCAGCTGTGGCATAAGTCGAGCACTACCTGTGTTCCTAACGGCTCAGTAACGGGGCTCGGAGGTTCCAGTATAACAAAATAGTTCAGCTATTCTTGAACATTCCAATGTTACAGTTCATTTATGTAGCTCGAGATTCTCAAGGAGAAGAACCATCCCAAGTCCTCAAGATCTGCCAGAGAAGAGTATAAATGCTACCAGTTACATGATGAATTCAGATATACAAGAAAGCTTCAGAAACGATTACTCAAATATAGCATGGGATTCCAGCATAATGCAAATTATCTCCAAACGTGGAAATTATTTCCAGTCATTATGCTGTTCAGTATTTAGACTGTGTACAATAGTTTTGTACTATTAAAATATTGCCAAAAAGAAAATTGTGCTTGTCCTTGCTGTTGGTTCTTGCAGTTTGTTTTATGTAGGTCCTTACTGACATAAATACTTTTGTTTCTCTTTTAACTGAAATTTTGTAGCAATGTTCTCATAGTTTCCTTTATGTTGTATGTTCACACTTATTCATTACATACTAAGTTAAGTTCTAGCCAAAAAGACAGTGAAGTCAACACACTGAAGTTTTAAAAAGACTAATCTTTGTATATTTAGTGCAAGATCTTGAGAATAACATTCAGTGTTTTCTATGCAAACATAGGAAATGCCTTTTAATTAAAACATGTAATTCATTTAACAGAAAGATTACATTTTGCCATGACATTTACATAGTTTGGTCTGCAGTCATAAATGGCACAATGTACAAAGAATAAATAAATAAAAAATATTTTGGTTATTTTACCTATTTTCTAAAATTAAAGTTCATATTTTTGGGTTCCTCCACCAAGGAATACATCTAATTTTATTTTATGAGACATGCTTCTGAGTAAAGACTGCAGGACTACTTGGTCAATTTTTTATAAAGAAATTCTAAACATTTTTAACAGTTGCTTTCATATCACAATAAAAACAAATATCTGTAAAAATTTGTGAACAATAGGACTGAGGATTATTCCTGCTGTATTACTTCATGTATAGAGAACTTGCGATATTTAAATAGAGCTGGTGAACAAATATATTTTTCTCAATATCCTTCATTTTCCAAATAATATGTCACACTGTTAGTACTTTTTTGGAAAAAAAAATGAGCTTTTCCCCAAGGCTGTATTATAATGCGTTCCAGAGCTGGTTTTAGGCTATGGCCAAGTGGGTATTAGCTTGGGGTGCCAAAGTTAGGGGGCACTAATGCTGCCCCTCCTTCTGAATCATTCTAAAAATTTCCACATCTGTAGGAGGTGGCACCATCAATGTGGCCTAGGGGTGCCAAATATCTTGAGCCAGCACTGGTGCTATGCACCATCTTGAGTCAGCATAAAACTTTATCACACAAAATATTTTGCCCCCTTGCCAATCCTTATCCCTTTTTTGTTGACTCTGATCCCAATCAGAGCAATTAACTACTTCCTTTCAAGGCAATGGGTGACAAAGGCTAACAAATTTTATATATTCATGCTTTCAGAGTAAGGGGAAAAAAAACCTGCTGGAAATAAGGCCCAATGAAGGATAATTAAGCCCCTTTTACTCATGAGCTGGGACTGAGATTATGGGAACACAGGAAAAAAAGGTCCATATTTGTGACATGGTTAAGATGAAGATGGGGACCCAGTCTTCTCCTTGCATGACTCTTTAATCAATTTGTATTTTAATTTTTTTAATGATTTGCTTCTGTGTGTTCTGTGGGGTGTACAGATTTACAAGAAATGATTGAAGAATTTTAGAAGAAAATAATGTGTCTTAAGTAGGATAGACAATGAAGTTGCTTGTCAAGATTAAGGATACTCTGCATGTTGCAAAGTCACATGCATTATAATCATTGTTATAAGACAAAAACTTGATTTTTTGTAATATATCCTTTTCCCTAGGGGAAAAAAAGATAAACATAAACCAAAGTAACAGAGGGCACTGAGCAATTGGAGGGGGTGCTGGAGAGCAATCTCACTATTTTATCCTTTAAAAATGCATTTGTGACTGATGGCTACACAGTGGCAATTATTAGTAAATCAGGAAGCGATACCACATGGTCTCACCCAGTGTCTGTCAGCTGTCTGGGAGGTATTTTTAAACATAGTTTAATACTCTTTCAGAAAACCACTAGATTGATAAAAGCAACTGATGGGGGGGGGGGATGTTGCAAGATAATAGTGAGAAGGAGCCCTTCAATCAAACCCAACCCACATTAAGGAGAACAATTTTTTTGAGGGGGGGGGGAAATCACATTCCTTAACTTATTTTACATTAACTAGTCACCAGCCTATTTGCTCAAGCTGAATAGAGTTTGGCAGTCACTGCAGAGTTTGCATACTATTCTACCAGCTCAAGATCTGAAGAAATGCATCTTATTCAAAGTATGAATCAGTTGGGACTGTTGCTATTGTATCAGCCTCTGTGTAGCAACCTCCCTGCCTGAGCTATTCTCCATCTCAGGGTTGGCAGTGAAAACCCCCAGGTTTATGGTCCTGAAGGATTTCAATCAGGAAGGGAGCAGGGCCTGATGTGGCTTTTCATGTCTTTCAGGAAAACCATGGACTTATTCAAGAACATCTATAGTAGGGGTCACCAACCTTTCTGGGAAAGGGATGTACAGGCACCTTTATGTGCGCATGCTCAAAAATGCAAATATGGCTTTGTGCACACAAATGGGCGTAAGCGTGCGTGCTCTGCAAATGGGGCTGCTAGCACTGGCGAGAGGCTCGTGGCTCTCCTAGCGCCAGCAAGAGGTTCACAGCTCACGGCTCTGCTACCACCGGCATGAGATTTGTGGCTCGGCTAGCAACACCGCTGCAAGGGCCTAGTGGCCAAGAGCCCATGGCCCAGTAGTTGGGGACCTCTGATCTAGAGCCAAAAACAGGAATGTGGGACCACACCCGATCTCATTTCCTTTTGGAGCAGAGGAAAAGTGGCCTGGAATTAGGGCAATTCTCTGTGACTCCCTTGTCATAGTCAGAGCTTGGCCTGGTAGCCTTGGGATTCGCTGGCATTGACCTCCCCCCTGTTATAGGGAGACAAGACTTCATAGAGTGGTCCACCCCTAGTGGACTAATGGACCTGGAAGGGTTCCAGAGGGAGTTGGGTTTTTTTCCCAATGGTCTGATGCATGATCCAATTGACGCTTTAGTCACCACTTGGAATGAAGGTGCAGCTGTGGCCTTGGATCAGATTATACTCATGCAACTTCTCTTTTCCCACGGATCCTGTTGCTCTGTGCAGTTTATGGAAGAGCTGAGAAAAATGGGAGATGTCTAGAGCACTGATAGAAGTCAACGAAGCATGAACTTGACTGAATATGAGTGAGAGCCACTATTAAGGCCTACCCAGTAAGGACAGTGAAATGAAACTATTTCTATATCCTTATTGCGTATGCAGATTGTTGTCTGGCAGCTTTGTTTTGAGTGGCCCAACCCAAGCCATTGTGGGCAAGGAGAAACTGGCAGTTCACCTGCAAAGCTGGATCTTAGTGTCTATTGGACAAAATTATTCAGATTTGTTCCCAGTTAGATGCCAGTTATGATGCACGTACAGTGAAAACACCTGGGGTACACTCTTGTCTGTGATGAGAATGGTTTGAATCTGTTGGGCCTTATGAAATGGACAGCATACTCATTCACCTCCTCCTTAGACCCATGGCCCTTCTGGCTAGCTAAGACTTCCCGGAATGGACATGTGCCTTGGCTCTGTTGATGGTTAATTCATCCTTGAAAGGGGGGGGGTTATTGGTTGACTCCCTCCTCAGAAAACCATTGATGGATCCCACCATACTGGACAATTTTTGTCCAATGTCCAACCTCCTTTTTTGGGGGAAGGTTGTAGAGAAGATGATGGTACAATAGCTTCACCTGATCTTGAATGAAATGAATTATCTGGACTCCTGTCACTCAGAGTTCGCCTGGACATTTAAAAATCTTGTGTTGATTTCATTTTTGATTTTGCTTCAAAAAGAATAGAATAGAATAGAATAGAATAGAATAGAATAGAAGAGTTGAAAGGGACCTTGGATGTCTTCTAGTCCAACCCACTGTTTAGGCAGGAAACCCTATACATTTCAGACAAATCATTTTTCAATCTCTTCTTAAAAACTTCCAGTGTTGGAGCATTCACAACTTCTAGAGGCAGGTTGTTCCACTGGTTAATTGTTCTGTCAGGAAACTTCTTAGTCTAGGTTGCTTCTCTCCTTGAGAGCAACTTAGTATGAATATTTTATCTCATATTGTAAACAATCATACTGCCAACATTTATTTGTCTTAAATTAGCTGCAAGAAAAATAGGAGGTAATCATATATTTCAATTATATTTAATACTTGCAGTATCTTTTAGTTTTACCATGGATGTAGGAAGCATGCCATTTATAAAATGCAGCCACCTAAATTAGCTAGCAGAACATTGCTGCAATGATGTATTTTTCCATCTGTGAATGCTTAAGTGAGCATGCTTAATTCTCTTTGGGGCAATTTCAATTTACGACAAGGAGTTTCATTCACTTTTATTTCACAACTCAAGTCTACAGTTCGTATGAGCTTCCTTGAAGGCACTGCGACTTCTAACTAAACTGCGTAGAAAAAGAGAAGAAACATGCATTGTTTTGGCAAACCGTTTCGACATGCCATTGGCTGTGGAAGGTACTGATACGCACCGTCCGACCCACCGCTATCCCGTGAACCTTTCATGTTGGTGAAACGCGAGTTCAAAGAGAGAATTACGTGCAGACGTTGAACGCTTTCATAAACTCTCTGCGAGTGGAGACCCGCAACATCTATCGAAGGGTTGAATCAAGGAGGCGCCTCTAAAACTCAAGCTAGCGAGCCGGGCCCAAAGAGCCTCTTTCCCGCCAAATATAGGGCGGGCCGAGGTTTACATTCCGCCGTGACTGGCTCCGAAGCCGTCTTCTTCTCCTCCCGGGAAGATGGGAGCGGGCGTGACGCGCGCCCAGACGATTGCGCTCCAAGGGCTGCACGAGGCGCCTCCCCTAGCGGCGAGGCGGGTGGAGGGCGCCCGCCGGGAGCGCGCTTCAGCCGGGGATACGCCTCCTTCCCGGACCCCTCGCTGAGGGCTCACCGCCGGCGATGTTCACCAGGGCGGTGAGCAGACTCAGCAGAAAGCGGCCCCCATCAGGTAGGGGCGTTAGTGCGGGTGGGGAATTGGTGCCATGTCCCAGATAAGTAAGATGTGTGGGAATGGGTTAGAAATAAAACGCAACAGCCCAGCCTGAGCGTGGCGTTTGCTAGTTTTCTTGCCAGCGGAGGGTTGGGACAGCGGTGGGTTTGCAGTTTGCAAATTGGCTTTTCTGTGCCGGAAGGAGGTAGATTAGCATTCAGCGCCTCACCGGCTACGCTTTCGAATATATATATCGAAAAAGCGGGATGAAAACCTAGCAATCGTTATATACATATTAATGATAGCTAGGTTTCCATCCCGCTTTTTTCGCTCCCTGGAGTCAGAAAACGCAAGGGGAAGTCTTGCCCTCGAAAGAGGAAAGGCTGAGGAGGCTCGCTTGCCATTTGGCAGGGTGGGAATTTCAGTATGAACGAGTCAGAAAAAAGGAAGAGAGAAAGAGACAGGCACGCACTTCAGAGCTGAGAGCTCCGTCCCGTCTTGCAAAGATATCGAAATGATTTCAGGAGCATGCAAGAAATGCAAAAGAAAACGGAGACTGTACCCTTTTCTTGTGAATCAGACAGGTTGGATTGCTCCTGCAGACTTACGAGGAAATATCCCATTAATTTTACATTTCTCTCAGTAGTCAGTACGAATCAGAAAAGTAATACAAAGTAATTCAGCAGAGAGCAGGCGCTCCTATTGAGCCAGCTTGTTTACTTTTAGTTTTGTTCAAATCCTGGAGTTCATCTTTTATGGAAATCAGTTTTGCAGTATGAAAATATTTAGAGATGAAGGGATTATTCTAAGAATTATGGAATAATTTTCCATGTCCCATATACAGAATAGTACTCTCCTACATGGAAAATAATATGTCCATATCCCAAAGTGAAAAGTTTACCCATGCTCAAGATTGGGTCTTCAGGATTCTGTTGAACTTTGTAAAAGTTAAATCTATCATTTTGTTTTGAATAGTTTGAAACAATGAACCTTTACCAATGCATAGATATTGGAAGTTAGGTTAAGTATTTATTGAGTATCTACTCATTCTGGTTTTCATATCTTTCTTTATAAATTACTCTATTTTTCATCCACATGGTGGAAATGATTCATGCTTTGATTTCTGCATGATGTTCTGTTCTAGGATCCCTGAATATGATCACTGTACCCCAAAAAAGTAACCCTGGCTGGGAAGTAGTTACTTGGAAAGTATTTATATACAGCATTAACAATATAGATTTATTAATCTCAGTTTTAAGCTAAAGTTTAAGCTAATCAGGTTAAACTTTGTTTGCCATGATTTGGATGAGAGCAGCAAGAAATCTCTGGGCCATAGTTTGGACTGCAAATAAAAAAAGCTTCCTAAAAGAAGACTTCTGTATTGCTCCAAAATATTACCTCTGACCCTTTATTATCACCAGAAATCACTCAGTTTGATGGAGACTTTACCTTTTGCTTCTGAAAAGTTACTGTTACTGAACTGTCTGTAGTATGCAGGATATTTCTTTGTTTTTGTGTGTTGAGCATATAACAGAGCAAGTGACCTTAATTCCATTCTTTTTTGGATTTCCAGAAAATTTCTGGATACGAAGATGGATATTTCTTTTGCAATCTTTTCTCTAGTCTCAGTGATTTATTCTGCAGCCTGTCCTTATTTAAAATATGTAATTATTCTTGTTGCGGTTCTCTGAATCTTTTTCCACTTACTAAAATTTTTATGTCCAGATTGGTTTTCCTGCTTTCAAATACCATACATAGATACAAAATATCTTTTTTGAAAATAATTGAAATTACATAATTTACCCATAAATATTTAGGGATCTGACAAATTATATGGTTTGTTTAGTCAAGTTAAATGATAGCAGTGCAGTAGTTTATAAGTAACAGTTGGGCTGCTGGAGCTGAAAGATGTTGAAGATGAATCATAGTGCATCAGTATTTAATCTGGCTTATTTCTTGTAAAACAAGGGCTTCGCACCTGATAAATGTTCCTGTCTATTATGCACATACATAACGTCTTCTAAGTTTCTGTAAGTTTTAGTTAAAGCAGAAACCAATGATTCCAAAGAAAATGTTTGTATGGGTAATTTCAGCAAGTCCACTGATTTAAAACACCTTACCAAAACATTACAAGCAGCTACAGGTTGTCTTCAGTTTAGTTGCTTAACAACCATTCAAAATTACCACGAACTAGAAGGCTCATAAAGCACTTCTGGTTGAGGTAAAATGTGCTAAGCCCCAATGGTCATAAAGGCTCACCTTTATGATGGGTTGCGGTGTTAAAATTGGGTCCATGTGGCTGCCTTTACTTAACAACCAGAATGACTTATCACCAGAAATCTAATCCCAATTGTGGTCATAAATCAAGGATTGCTGGTACTACTGAAAAATTGCATGTAAAACTTAAACCTATGGGAAGTAAAGTTTCTTTGTTTCTTGGCTATGGATTATTTTCATCTTGGATTTTTATTTTCAAGCTTCAGTTTTCAAGCAATAAAAATGTATTTCTATGACTGTAAGTTAATGTTACGTATAAGAAATTTGTTGTGAATAAATATGTATCATATGTTGATGCAATGATATCTACTTTTCTGCAAATTGCAGATATACTGTAGCTGTGAATAGAGAGTGAAATAACATGCAAGTTATGTTAACAGTGATGTAATAAAGGTTGTAGCTAGTCTGCTTTATAACTTCAATAAAGTAGATGTCCTATTTAGACAACGGAAGCAAAGGGACAAAGCTATTTATGCTGAGTGGGATCTATATTTCATTTCCACTGAAAGCAGTAGGACAAATTCATTTGAATTAGGGATCCAACCACTAATATTTACTAGTTGTCTATTTGTTTGCTTGTTAATTGATGTTGCAGAGGAAAAAACGAGAGAAGATATGCTAAAACTGCTTCCAGATGAGGTTTTTATTGTATAATTATCCTGTCTTAAACATAGGATTTAATAGGAAGTTTAGATGACATCTTCCATTTGGAACTCACCCATGTTTTTGCATTACTTCTTTTATTTCTTACCACAAAGGGGAGGAGGAGGAAAGATAGGCAGAATAACTGCAGAGTGTCTTCCAATTAACACAGAAGCAACCAAAGTGTACCTTAAATATTTAAATAGTTTGCCCAGCTGAAAGCTCTGGGATTCTTACCCAGTGTTCTAGAAGTTTTAAATTCAGTTGCACCTAGAAATAACCATAATTCACTGTACAAGAGTACATCAGGATTGTACTGTTATTGTATTATATTAACTCTTCAGACTTTATTCTGATTATGAGCTACTCAGAATCTGGCTTATTAAAGCAGCAGAAGAATGTAATTTATTAATTTATGATAGAAGTTCTCTCTTTCCCCACCACCAAAATTAGATTAGCACCATCCCTTTTGACATTCTCAAAGGCCCTCAAGATGTGATTGTGCTATCAGGCCTGCGGTTCCCAGGACACCAGAGATTTGCTTAAATGGCTCCATTGTTGAGGTTGCCATTTTTATCTTCTCAAAGGGGTTTATATATTTGGATTTTAAAAATATTATTTGCTTCTTAATGTAGATTTTTATATTTTTATATTCGTTGGTTTTATTTTTGTAGCTTTTATCCAATTGTTGTGTGCCACCTAAAGTCACTTTGGGTGAGATGCGCGTTTTTGAGAACACTCAAAGTTTAAGAAGAAACTTTTAATCTATAATGTGCACATATACTATTGAAAGCAATTTAGTGTTAACAAGAAGTACATTAATTAGTTTAAGTCTTAGTTTTCCAGTTATATTTTTATTATCTTCCAAAAAGCCACATAAATTCTTACTTTTTTAAAAAAAACAACTGAGTATTATTACTGTCTATAAAGGACAAGAGACTGTACTTGATTTGTATATGAAACATGGAGAAGGATGGCAGATTTGCCATTCCTTATATTGAATTGTGTGCTTGGTCTGTATCATCATCCCACTCTGCATATGAAATCTCATGTAAATCTTTATTTGATTAACAAATAAATAGATCGGTGGACTGTTAACTTTAAATAATTTTGTTCTTGTAGCCAATGGATGTTCAACAGCAACTTCTTGATAGAATTTATTAACCTCGTATTTTGGCATGGTTAAACTTTTTCTGTACCATTATGTTTAATATCAACAGTTGTTAAAGCCCAAATACAAACCAATCATTTGTCATTATAGTAAAAACTAAATTTCTTTAAAATTCGGTATTTTTTCTATTTTCTTCCAAATAGATAACATGTTTAAAACATATGGATGTGTATTTGTATAGCTGTTCTGCTATGCAATTCTCTTTTAGGAAATATTCCAACTTGTTTACAAGGCAAATATTTAATATCTAACACTATTGCCTTTTTAAAACTCCTTGAAAAAGTTATACCTAGTTTATAAACTTGGAAAAGATGATGTCTTAGTCACATTTAATAAAATCACAAGCATGTTTACCCATTTGGATAGAGTTTTGGTATATTATATAGCGTTGCTTTATAGATTTACTATGGGTGATATAAAACAGGGAAACATGATTAGTCAGAAAAATATAAGACATTACCTTATGACAAGCAAGATTATATTCATATTATATTTCATTTTTCTGCCCTTTGAACTTGAATCCTGAATCTGTAGTTAATTGTGGATTAAATGACATGACAGCGAAATATATTTATGTTTGTTGGTTCTCACCATCTTCAAAAGTGCAAATTAATTGAATTGTCTCACATCCTTTTAACATAGATAGAAAGAAACAGTTCTGCAGCTATAAGTTGAAATACACAAACATAATTAACTTTCTTTTTCAGAAATAACAGACAATGACAGCAAGCCATGCAGTAGCCATCAGACCCTCAATGGAACCACAAGATGGGCTCAGTCATTGGAAAGTTTGCTGGAAGACCCAGAAGGTGTAAAGAAGTTTAGGGTTGGTATTCAAACTATTATTTACCCCACAAACCTAAAAACAACTCCCAAACAATTAGAGCTGTTTTGTCTTCATTATATGAATCAGCAATATGCAGGTTATTTATTTTGGGAGTCTTGAGTGTATTTAGTGGCACTTAGGTTTAAGAAAAGATATATAAAGTTCAAATTCGTAATTGCTGAGGTGATAGATAAGTGTACAAGTTTATGTAAACAGGAGCGTGAAACCATTGGCTGCCATTACTAAGGTTCTATCCTAATTCTAATACTCTTCTGAAGATTGCAGGAAAATGACTACAAAAAGTTGAGTTGAAGTGGATACCGTAAACTATGAAGTGTACTATAAACTTTTAGAACACAGCTACAGAAATACTGGGGGCAACGTCAACATCTGACCTTTGAATGACAATGAGAAAAGTGGAGCAAGAAGGAGAGCATGCTGCGACTTCCTCTCTTAAATCTTGTCGCCTTACGGGACAGAAGACATACAGATAGTCCTCATCATACACCCATTCATTTAGTGACCGTTCAAAGTTGCAACATCACTGAAAAAAGTGATTTAGCACCGTTTTTCACATGACCGTTGCAGCATCCCTGTGGTCACGTGATCAAAATTCAGATACTTGGAAACTCTTATTTATGACGGTTGCAGTGTCCTGGAATCATGTGATTACCTTTTGCCACTTTCTGACAAGCAAAGTCAATGGGGAAGCCAGTTTCAGTTAACAACTAACATACTAACTTAACTTCAGTAATTCAATTAACAATTGTAGCAAGAAGGGGGGTGAACTGGGGCAAAATTCACTTAACAACTGTCTTGCTTAGCAACAGAACTTTTGGACTCAATTGTGGTTATGTTGAGGACTACCTATACTTTTTTTAAAATTGCCCTTGTTTTCTGGAAGGAAAGATTTCTCCTCTGATAGATGATGGCCCCAACTCTGCTCACTTTTAGGACAGATGTTGAGATCTGACTTTTTCCCTCGGCTACTTGGAGGCTACTTGAGTGCATTCCCCTTTGGCTGTTTTATTAAGTGCTTGGTCACCATTTTTCTATTTTGTATTTATATATATTGTGCATATTTTAACGTTTTTATATTTTGGGGCTTAATTGTTTTTTGTTCTTATATGCCATCTAGAATTGCACTGCATAATAAGTTTGGCAGCCTGATAAAAGTGGTTATGAATACTAATAAAGTTTAGATCCAGAAAAAAAATAAATTGTTAATATGAATACTCTCTCTTGATTCCATTTTCCAGTAATGCCATTTTAACAATTGCAGTTGGGTAGCAACCTTTGAAGAGGCTCTGAGAATTGTATCCAGATAATCAGGAAGGTAGCATGTTGCTTCAGACATTTACTTTGTACACAGTTGTTTAAGAGTTTGCAATTGATTTTGCAAGGATATCAGAAAATCCTTTTGTTCTTTATGTGAAGACCCTTAACGAAAGTAATGAAGGCTGACTACTAGTTTATGGTACTTTATTTTAATAGCTCCTTTTCCTCCCTATCAGGACTTCTTAAAGAGAGAATTTAGTGAAGAAAACGTTTTATTCTGGCAAGCTTGTGAAGAGTTTAAGAAGATAAAAGATGAAAAACAGGTATTGACTCACAAATCAAGCGGAACCAGCTGAATATACGTAAAAAACAATGCAGTCTACATCTATTATAATTACAGCACACAAAATTGATTCGGGTGGAAAGTGATCATTGTTGAAATTATGATGGTTCATCAAGGATTTATTTATTTACAGGATTACATGTTAAAATGGCTTTAAAACTGTGGTTTTCTAGAATTTTCTAACTATTTTTTCCTTCTCTTTTGGCCAATGCTGTCTGATTTAAGAAGAGGATAGGTAAACTCAATTTTATATTTCCCTGGGAAATGTTTCATAAACTGAAATATAAAGTATTGATTTCATGTTTTTGCTAATTCAGTTTTTGCTATATAACCTTGTAAACAAATAACAAGTGTAAGTTGTTTTTAATTTTTTTTTTAAAAAATCATTCCTTTGGAAATGCTGCCTAAAGTAGGATTTCTTAACTTTAAGATGTGTGGGTTTCAGTTCAGTTTCCAACATGCCGAAAGTTGAAGTGTGCACATCTTAACGTTACCAAGGTTAAGAAACCTGGCCTAGATGAATGAAGTCTGAATATCTTGGTAGCACAAGCAGCGACATGAAATTTGCTTTCTAGAAACTAGCATGTGATGGCTTGCATAACAAGATGGTCTCATAAAAGATATAGATATATGATAAGAAGATAATATAAAGAACAGCAATCTCTGGTTGATCGAGCTGTAGATAAAGTGTTGATTTCAGAACTGCACATACCAAGAAGCAAAATGAATGTTAATCTGATTCCATAATTACACCATGCCACTACATATTCAACTTCTGTTGCCATTATTTTTTGTTAACTCTACAAAGGACAGTTATGAGTCATATAGATTTCAGTAGGATACAAAATTTGACTTGCTACTTTAGTCCTCATGTTTTTCTTATCGTGTAATAATCTTTGTTGAAACAAAAGCTGTTTGATGAATCAACCGCAATCCTTTTTAGTCAAGGAATCAGCTATACAGAACAACACTGTTTCAAATGACTTTTCTGAATACAAAGATAGATCACAATAAACATGGAATTGGCTTACAAGATTCATAAACTCCAGCCATCACAGCCTATAATTAATGTAGGATATAACAATGATTACAATAATTCATTGATTATGTTGGCTGGTTATACTTAGGTTTATTTACAGAATAGTGTCCTAATCATAGAATACAGTTCTCTTTTCTTCACCTTTCCTGTAGATTTATTCTCCCTTTAGTATTGGAAAGACTATCTGAAACAGGATGTGTGCTAGGCAGGGAGATTTCAGGAATAATATTCAGTTAATACAAAATGTTTTTAAGGTTGGCAATATTGGGGAAATGGCATCTGTGCTTAGTGAAGATGTCCTTCTCTTCACAGATGAAAGCAAAGGCAAATGAAATTTACAAAAATTTCTTGTCAAATAAAGCTTCTTATCAAGTCAATGTAGAAGGACAATCGCGTTTGGATGAATCAATACTGGAAAAACCTCATCCTCTGATGTTTCAGAAACTTCAAGATCAGGTAAAATTCTGAAACTTCCTTAATTATCTTGTGAAACATGAACAACCAACTCCTGGCAGCAGGACAGGATCATAGTTACAATAGAGTTAGAAAAGCTCCAGGAACAATGTTTTTTGCTGAACAGATTACCTAACCTTTAAGAAAAGAAATTGACAAGTGAAAAATGCTTAGGAAAGAGTATATTTATGATTTCAATAGACTTAACATTTGGTTTAGTGGTTAAGGCACCAATTTAGAAAGCAAGAGACCATGAGTTCAAGTCCCACCTTAGCCATGAAAGCCACTTGGCTTGGGCCAGTCACACACTCTCAGCCAACTCACTTCACAGGGTGGTGGTTGTGTGGAAAATAGGAAGAGGAAGGTATGTTGGATATGTTTGCGACCTTGACTTATTTGAAAAAATAATAAAGACAGGATACAAATGATCAAATAAATAAATAACTCAAAAATAATTTGAAATTGATGCATGCTTACTTTGTACATCTTTCCTTTATTTTAAACACTATTTGTACATCTTTCCTTTATTTCAAACACTATTTGATGACATAATACACTGAATATTTTTTTTTAATAATTGCTGGTTAGGCATGGCAAAGGTATATTCTAGATAGATAGTTTATTAACTGATTAGTCTTACAGCCATATTAAAAAAAAATACAACAAAAATCAGATACAGGTCTAATTCCAGGATAAAATAGATAAAGGCGAATACAGCAATAAAATATATATTTGGTAAATTCAAAGAATCAACATTCAAATAAAGGCATCACCTTTATATAATACCCAGTCTATTCGATATAATGCATTTTTATCTCAGCTGCTACAAACAAGTTTGGTAACTACAAACTTAGCAGTTCTGCTCATGATGTATACCTTAGAACCCAAAAACTAGTGGGTTGTTCTTTCAAGCAGGGATGTTAAATATCTAAACTCAAGAAGGGCATGTTCTTGACAGTCAAACAAAACATGAGCAATATCTTCAATGGCTGGAGCAGAGTTCTTCTTCCACTGTAGTATATTAAACTAAAAGCTTACAATCAGAAATTCCACTAAGTGAAGAGCAGAGCTGAGTTTCTTGCAGCTGGTGTTTCAAGGTTGCTTATATCTTATCTATTTTCTAAGCTGTCAACAAGTCTCTCTTAGGCAGTAACAGGTTGCAATCTCAAGTTTAGCCACCAGATGTCACCCCAGAATTATTTTTATCTTTTCAGTTTTTCTTCTATTTTAAAAGAAAAAACCCAGATCTTCAGTAAAAATAAGAGAATAAAAATCGGAGAAAAATAAAAAATAGAAAATTACAAATCTTGTAATCAACCAATTTTAGGAAGTAGAGTTCCAATTAGAATCCCAGTATTTTTTCAATGTTTTAAGCTCCCCTGGGTAGTCAATTGCTGCTGTTTCTGGAGGGAGGGTTAAAATCTCCCCTCACCACAGGGGGAAAGTACTTTAGCAGCTTATGCAGGTAAGTAAGTAATTATGATATAAGAGAGGTAGATCTCACACAGACTTTTCCACGCTGTTTTAGAGTTGCCAGATGGTAGGTGTGACTTCAGCTGTCTGCAGTCTTGTGACGGACCATATCTCTATGGTTGGTCTTTCGTCCGCCGGTTTGGAGGGAATCACCGGCTCTAGCGGGAGAGTTGCCGTTCTCCCACGATCCAGCGAGGGCCCCTCCTTGCTGGTCGCCTCTACAGGGCAACTTTCGACCCTTTCCAGGGTCCCCCAGTGATGCGAAACTAGATAGGGACGACGAGAGTCATCTTCCTAGCGTCCATGTCGGCCGTGCGGCAAACCGGACGTCTCACAATTCTTACTTAATATAGGTGCATTCATTCACTACAGTAATCAAAGGGCAAACAAATTATAATAGAAACTAGTTTATGTCAAAACCAGCCCTGTATTAACATATGCTTGATGTCCTTTTAATTTTTCTAAAGTTCATCATTTGTACTGCAAAATGTTATATAGATGACCATAATAGTTTAGTTTCCTCAGCATATCTCTATTTAGTAGTCACTGTGTGGTAGGTCAGAAATGTAAGGGTTCCTTTACACTAAATTAAATTTAGGGACAAGTTTATGTTTTGAAAACCAACATCAAATTTCTAATCTGGTAATCATATTTTTACACACAAAGCACAATGTGTACTAATTTAAAATTTGTTAACAAAATGTTTTGAATTCCAAGTTTTTATAGCTGTGGTAAAAAAGATAGTAACTTACATTAAAAAGAAAAAAACAACCAAAGCACTTTGTGTCTCTTAAAGGATCTTCTTCTAATCAGTTGGGAAAAAATCTTTTGCAGCTAATTATATGAGGCCTATTATTGCTGAAGTATAAGCAAAAGTCCTGAGAATATATTATTAGGCAAAACACTTTGCCAGCTGGCTTAAGATTACAGTTGTGTTCTCTTGCTTTGAATGGATCTCGTATTGAAGACCTCAGCCAACCAACCCCCTTCCCCCTTTCTCTCCATCTGCCCCCAAAAGTAACATCTGACTTTCTTAGCTGGTCATCACTTTCTCAAATTGGAGAATTATATCCACGTTTGGGCGGTATACAATAGGATCTGCAGATGGCAGTATGGGTCACTTTCTAGTGCTTTTTAAGCATAGACCAAGCAGCCCACTTACCTGCATGTTTTGTGGAAGAGATGAAGCAAGAAAGATATAAGAAAGGAAAGAGGTCTCGGCCCAATCTTTTCTTTCAGAAACCAGGAGAATAGCAAAGAGGCCATGGGGTCTGCAAAACTCAGTTGTTTATTAAAAATTACAGCAGTTCTGGCTTCGTAGTATTAAATGCTGCTTTGACAAGAAGTTGTGTACATTTAAAATAACTGAAACTGATTCAAAAAATTCTGATAACAAACTGATGGACTACTTTTTGTATTTTTCAGTACACCCAGGCTTGTACAGGATATACCAGAAGTCAGGCCCCATAAGTCTATTGTAGTATGTTCTATTAATTAATATTGTTTATCGAAGAAATATTATTGTGAGGTCCTTGGTGCTCTCTAAGCTTGGTTGTTATCTTGCAGACGTTTCATTACCGACATTCCCAATAGGTTGCATTAATGTTGTCAGTTGCTCACAGGTTAGACATTCCAGGATGCAACAGTATGCTAAGATTGAGATCTAAGAACAATTAGATGCTAAGCAGAATAAAGTTAGTGGATTTACTGTGAGATCAAATCCACTGGTTATGTGCTAATAAAATAAAATGCCCATTTGGCTTATCTTGTCTATAAATAACTTCATTCTATTTAGGAATACATTGTTTTGGCATTTTAGCACAGCAATATATGATATAAGATAATCATCTTTATGTTGGCTCCTTATTATGCCCAAAGTTTCTTTAAAAATTAATAGCAATATCATAATCAAGTGAGATTATGGCATTATATATAGTACTCAATATCCTGAAGCATCAGTAATTCATGTAGTGCACATGTAATTAAACTTTAATTTGTGGAATAAAAGTAATGGGAAATATGGAAAAGGTTGCTGGATGCAATAATGAAGAGAAAAAGCTTGTGCATGAAGAAAAATTGATATAAGAGAGTGATTGCTACAGAAATGAGAAGAATATAATGATATGTAGAAAAAAGGTTAGTTGCAAAGTCTACAGATAATCCTCACTTACTGTCCACTATTTCAGTGACCAAAATTAGACTTATGACTGGTCTTTAAACTTAACACTGTTATAGCATCCCCATAGTCTTGTGACTGCCATTTGCAATTTCCACAGTTAGCTTCAGACAAGTAAAGCCAATGGGAAATTCAGCAGAGAGTCGGAAATCATTGGTGTCATTTGCAAAACCTTTTTGCTTCTTGTTGTTTGATGCTTTGTTTCAAATAACTTGTATTTTTTCCTTTTCCATACAGATTTTCAACCTCATGAAATATGACAGCTACAACCGCTTCCTGAAATCAGATATATTTCTTAAATTGAAGGAGACTGAAGAACAGGAAGAAAATTCACCTGATCCTCAGACTGTAGCAAAAAGAGCTTCTAGAATTTATAATACATGATTGTATCCCATATTTGGATACATCCCAAATAACAACAATCCATAGAACAATAGATCACATTGAGACAACAATCAAAAGCGTATCAGTTCTCAGGAATAATCTTTGTGGTTAACACAGATGCATTTAGAGGCTTAAATAGTATAGAATCCTATTAGATAAAACTTACCTTTGGTTGCTTCAAGTGACTTGTTTCTTGCCAGTGCTTGCTTCTAGATACAATGACCAAGGTACTTTTATGACAGCCCTTGAAAGACTGAACAATTTGTGGGTCCTTGCAAATTGCTTCTAATTTTTTTAAAAACAGAGCTTCTTTGATACCTGTTTTAAAATCAACTTCTCTTCTGAGCTATGTCCTTAACTCTTCCATTGTAAGCTCCTAAGTGAGGCTTAAGATTGAGAGGTTTATTTCAATATTCAAGGTGAATCTCTGACATCGGGATCACTTATTCCTTGTCCCAACTCTGTGGGAGGATAAAAAATATTCGTGAGTCAATGAGAAAACTATGGCTACCAACCTTCCTAAAAACTAGTGTTTATCTGACAGTAAGTATTAATTTTGTGTTGGTTCCTCATAGCTATTTATATTGATGGTAGAAATAATAAATGAAACTGAAAAATATTGTATGTTAATTTAAAGAATACGTTGACAGAAACCCAACAGGAGTTTGCTAGTGGATTTTAAGAGGAGTACCTAACCAATTTTCTTTTTAAGTCAACAGTATATGGTTGGCTACCATGAGGTAAAAAAAAAAAAAAAAGCAGTAGGAGGATGTTTTGTATCTTTATACTAGCTATTCCTACGTGTCAGCCTTGTGAGGTAGTTCAGTCAAGAAATGTCACAGGTCTGAAAATACATATCTCTTCCCTTGCCTTTACAATCCAAGAAACTATTATAAAGGGTTTCTGAGATGCCACCCTGTCCATCTGTGGGCTCAGCTGCTTCTTATCAGACTCTTGCCTAGTTCATGCATCCTCCTATCTCTCAAGGACATTCTCACAGATAATTACATTACAGAGTTTGTGATATGTCTGAATCCAACCTCAGAACAACTGGCATATATTTGCATTTCATGATAGTCTTTAAAGAAGAGAATAGCAAGATCCCATAGTTCAATGAACAAAAGAAGATAAAACTTTTTATCAATTGAAATGGCTGCACTACAACATCAACAGATAATGGAAATTATTTTACGGAAAGACGACAACTGAGGAACAAATCCAATGGATGAGAATAATAACCAGAAGGAAGAGACAAAAGATATTCTAACTATTGGAGCTCCTTGAATATAAGGAAACTATAAGACATTAAAAGACATTAGAGCAAATAATGCAACTGTGTCCTGTAAGAAGCCATAGACAAGAAATGGTATCTGATCATGATGAAAAATCATAACAAATGTGTGCTGACTACTACCACCGTGTAAAAATAAGCTGTATTTCAGAAAAAGGAGATGACAGTTTCTAAGATTTATTAAGCCCACTGGTGATTAGCCGTACTTGCTAATTATGCTGTAAAAAATAACAGCTACAGTTATACCACTACAGAGCCCTAAGAAGTAAGACAGAGCCTCAAGAGTTCTCATCCATTGTTTTTGTCTATTGAAGATAACCAAAAAGGGGAAAAAATAATATAAATTGATGAAGGACCTCAAATAATGTACTAAAGACCTGTGAGGCCAAGTGCCATCATTGTATCCTTCAGTTTCTATACTCCAGTTTTCTCAAAAGGAATAGAAGTAATACAAAAAGAGTTTGCATGGTATATTAAATTATCCACTCTTGCTGAAAAATTCTAATTTTTGGCAGAGTGTGGAGAGCTCTGAATTAAATAAGTAGAGAAACAAAAAGAATTTTCTTCAGAAAATTCCTGATGTCTTCTGGACAAGTTTCTTTAGAGGACTGAATATGGCACAAGAGAATTGGCCATCTTGTCCAAGTGCTAATCAATGGGAAGAACTTAGTTGAGAAAGTAGAAATAATAGAAATTTTAGGGAAAGTGATTATGCAATGTTGGATTTTTTATTCTAAGGGAAACTAAGCTAATACCAGAATATTTGTAAACTGCAAATTAAAATTCTGTGACAGGAGAAGCTTAACACAAAATCAAGATGGATGGACGTTTTTAAAATGGAAATATTGGAAGCACAATTTAAACAATTCTAATAAGGCACAGAAGCCAGTTCAGTTCAAAAAGCTTAGCAAAGATCAGAGAACAAAAAAGATCATATCAGAAATGGAAACAAGGAAAGCAAGTATACTAATGTATCATATAATAAATCTGGGTTCCAGATAAGCAACTGCATTCAGCATACTGCCGTAGTGATCATCATAATCATGTTGGATATCTGTGTTTATAAGCAAACTGATTGAATTGTCTGTTTGCTATTCCTGTTCAGAAAATTAAAAATCAATATAGACTTGGATGCAAAATCTTAGGATAGGTACATTTAGACAGAAAATATGTAGGTGCAGATCCCTATAATTAACATACAGTATAATAGCTGGGTACTACAGATGGGGAGATTTGACCCCAAGCATCTAAGCTTTGAATAGATGCAAATACATCAGTGGAAGGTTTAGTAGCTGAACCACTCAAATGACTTAGATGACTTCTTAAAAGTGAACAGATTTTTCTCTGCCTTCTCCAATCTAACGCCTACACACACTTTCCACCTACACATTCTGGAAACTATAATCTCAATAAATTTGCAGGATGTCAGATTAATTTAAGGGTCGTTTGTGCCTCCATTTAATAAAAGGCAATATCTTTCTAAAAATGTATCTGACAGACAATAGGACATACTATGTACATTAATTTGAAATATTTCGCAAAGGTACTGGGAAACATTTAGATATAAATAACTTGGTGTAATCCACTTTAACAGTTTTCATTTGAATGTTAGTAGTATCTACCTTATTTAATTTCTTTTTAGCTGGTTAAATATATTCATGCATGCCTATTGAAATATTCATGTTTTGATAATCTGGATATGTTAAATTTGTACACTTTGTATAGGTAGTCCTTGATGTACAATCAGAGTTGAGCCTAAAATTTCTGTTGCTAAGTGAGACGGTTGCAAAGTGAGTTTTGCTCCATTTTATACGCTTTCTTGCCATAGTTAAGTGAATCCCTGCAGTTTCTAAATTAGCGACAGGGTTGTTAAGTGAATCTGGCTTCCCCATTGATTTTGCTTGTTAGAAGGTCACAAAAGGGGATCACTATGACCCTGCAACTCTCATAAATCTTAAACAGTTGCCAAGCATCCAAATTTTGATCATGTGACCACGGGATGCTGCAATGGTTGCAAGTGTGAAAAACGGTCATAAGTCAATTTTTTCCAGTGCTGTTGTAACTTTGAACAGTCACTAAACAAATGGTTGTAAATCGATGACTACCTTTACTACTATGTGGGAAATAATGTGATAATCTGTTATTCAAATTGCAAGATACATCTCATCTTTTAAAAATCCCTATTCAAATCTAAAATGATGGAAAATCACATTCTCATTAATAAATAAATATGTAGTAGCATTGCCCTCAATTAAGATGTGTTGCGTCAAATTAATCAGATATTTTAGTTGATTAAACTATCAATGAATTAGAATGAATGTTACAATTACGTAAATGATTGTATTAGTATATAAATTTTAAGAAAGCTGAAATCTAAATCCTAATTAGTAATAATAATAATACACAAAGGAATGCTTTGCTACATTGAGCAGCACCTTCTCTTGATTATTTAAAGAATTAAAAGCACTTCAGCATTAACAAGTGAAACTTTGAGTTTATGATCTGTATTTTTTCACGTTGCACTCACACAACTTCAAGATATTTTGGAAATCTCAAAAAGTTGAAGTTGAAGTAAGGTGGCAAGGAGTTACACTAGCAGACATTAAATACAAGAAAACATTCAGATTTGCCTCTGTTCATGTCTTTGAGAGCAGCTTATCATATTGAAATTTAATCAGTATTGTATTTTGTTAATAGAGGAAAGTAGTAGGGGAAGCTAAATTCCCTGTGTGTCAAGAAGTTACAGTAAATGGTTTCTACATGTAAACATACGTTGGTATATTATCAATAATAAAATTACAACTTTCTTAATAAAAATGTGGAGGAGGCTCAATAAAAAGATGGCAACCAAAGATTATAAATTGTTATAAAAGGAATAACAAATCACATCTCTAGAGAACCAGAATTATATTCAGTAGTTATAGATAGGTCTGGTAAATTTTCTCAGTTCAGAAAATGGTTAACCTCTAAGGTTAAATTTGTTTTTTTTTTAACTAATTAAAATATTTATTAGAAAAATCTAGATAAGAGTGATGGACCACGTTTTGAAGTCACAGTTTCTGGGAAAGGGTTGCTACACATCAGTTTCTGATATTCAAGCAGCCTGTAAAGATTTAATGGTAAGAAAGTTACCTGCTGATGCATTTAATATACATTATACTGTCTATATTGTATTCCCCTCTTTATGGGGAAAACAGCATTTACAAGGAAGGGAAGGGAAACTCTGAGGAAACTGCTATTTCAAACTCTTGAGTGAGCAAAACTGGCTTTTGGATATGGATCTCATTCAACTCAGCTAATTTTCCTTGTCATTCCCTATTCATTTTTTCTTTGGTGTTCTGTCTCGATTTGCAGATAACAATTTTGTTTTTAAATGTAAACCACTCTAGAAGATTTCTTAAACTGGACTGGTGTATACATATTATAAATAATTTAAAAAACTACAAGTAAACTGTATAATTGCAAAACACTTTGTTGACTCTATTATCTCAAAGGAGGGTTCTTCATCCACTAATTTACTTCCTAAATAAACTAGTAATCTTGGACACAAGCCAAGTGCAATTGTTAGACCAACAAAAATGTATACAGAGAAACTATGTCAATGGGTTGCTTATACAACAGCAGCAAGTAAATAATAACCGAAGATGACTCCTACATGGAAATGAGGTCAACTTCTACAAGGAAGATACCATTTCTGTGCTTATTTTGATGATTTGTCTGGGAGATAAATAATTTCTGGGTTCAGATGTGTTCAGATCTTTTATTAAGCAATCAGATGGTTTTCCTTTGTTCAATCAGAGTAGGAAGAAAATCAGGAAGGGAATTATCAAATTTCAAAACGTTTCCCCCGCACACAACACACACACATTTTCTGGGTCTGAATCTAG